GACGTCCTCCACAACTAGACTGAAGAACAAAAGGACAGCAACTTGCCTGTTCCCCTCCCCCAATTCCCCAATAAAATCTTTAAAAAAAGAAAAAGTCGCTGCTCTTTGAGAAGTAGCATCAACAAAAATGTTCTGTATAAAGAAGACATTTAATATGTTTCTTCTCCCTGCCCTGCACAAGTCCTTTAGAATGGTCCAGAACTTGCAGAGAATCCAAATATCAGAGACGTAGAAAAACTACTGACTTTTAACTTTTTGTAAAGTAGGAAGGCAGAATTATGTTTTCAGGTCTCACTCATGAATCTTCCTCTGATTTTCCTTTTTGAGAGTTATTGCCTAAAATATGAACAGACTAGCCTCTCCTCATCACACAATTTATAGCTTTTCATTAGTAGAGGTAGGCCAGAAATGTAGTGGTCTTTAATAATTGTCTCCTTTAACTAATAGTTTTTTGATAAATACATCTGATTAATGCCTAAGGAATATAATTCTGAATGATTTGCTAATGAGGCACTTGTCTTTTGCAGCCTCCTAATTTTCCCTACAAAGATGATATCATGTCGGTGAATCCTACCTGTTTGGTCCTTATTATTCTTCTGTGTGTCAGCATTATCTTGACCTTTAAGGTAAGAATGAAGATTTTACTCATTGCCTAAATATTATTAAACATTTTCATATATGCCAAAGAAGTAAACAAACTCCAGTCATCTCATTATCTTGCTTTTTAGATATCTGAACTGCTTTTTGATTTCCTGACAGTTCTGTTTTCCTTCTCATACCTATATGAGAGATATACTCTAACCAACTTCCATAGGCCAATCAAGGGTTATTCCAAAATCTGTTAGGATGAGAATAACTTAATATAATGTTATATATTACATAGTATATATGCTGCAACATTCATTACAATGTTTGTAATTTGTTTTTAAAATGTAGTATGTTCTGAACATCATCCTATAACAATCTATTGTATGAATTTATCATTTAATCAATTACTTATTGTTGGACATTGAGACAGTTTCTGCTTCGGTTATTAATATTCTTGCAATGAACGTATTTAAATACATCTTTCATATGCTTATACATTTATTTCCTGAAGATACATTTAAAATTAGAGGGTATGCATAATTTGAAGGCTTTTGATGGGCTGTCAAACTGACCTCTGTAGAAGCTGAATGACTTAACACTCCCATCAGCACTGCTTCCTCTCACCCTCATCGGCTGAGTGCTCTCTATTCCTTTTCATCTTTGTAAACCTGGTAATAAAAACATCATTATAATTTGTGCCTGTGTGCTACTAGTAAGTAGAAAATTCTCAAATCATTATTGGCCATTGAACTTTTAATTCTTAATATTTTCTATTGCCTTTATTTTGGCATAAAATTAACTACCTCAAAAATCAAACCTCAGTAAGCTTGAGGAAGCTACATTTAAGGAGAAAATTATTTTAAATAGGTAATATGAAGATGGGTAGAAAGAAAATGAATCATTGAAAATGATTTGTGTCTACAGTTTTCCCCATAAAACACACTATTTTGATATTTCATGTGTATCTTAGTGGTCAAGGATTCAGGCAAATTTTATACACGGATGGAGAGGCTTACTGCCTCTGTAGCTCCCACTCCCTGTTCACCCAAACTTTCTGGCTGCTATGGCAACCCCAAATGTTTTCCTTGCCACTCCAAACCATGCAGGCTCCTGGCCAAAGGCCACAGACTCAAATCCCATTTACTGCACTTTGTTTTTCAAGGGGAGACTGTTAGCTTCTGCCTGTTTTGGATGCCTCTCCCTTGCCTTCAAGTGTGTGTGTGTTCGTTCCAGAGTTTATCGTTTGTACCTGCAGGAAGGTTCACCAGATAAAACTAGTCTCTGCCATTACCACAAGCGCAGAAGCTGGAACCCCCCAGTGCATTTTAATTTTGTAAGCATTTTCATTTGTATTGGAAATGCTTACTTGAGATTTTGAGTCAGAGGACTTAGCGAGCTTCTGTCACTGCTTTTTTTCGCTGTGACCAGAGCCTCAGTTTCTTTGTTTACTAAGTAGCAATAATATTGGGTCGTCGGGAAAGTCATGACGTATTTTTCTATGTCTTTCAATGCAAAAATGCATCATGACTTTCCTGACGACCCAATAGTTAAGAAAACATTCCGTATGTTGACTGTGAGGTTTAAGTGAGCTAATATATGGGAAGATGCATCATTCATTCATTTATTCAGTAAATATTTATTAAGGGTCTCCTATGTGCCAGGCTGTGTTCTAGGTACTGGGCTTTGTAGGAAATCAGAAAAATCCCTGCCCTGTGGTGCTTTTAAAAATTTCAAAACACTGTTGTTAATTATCATAATGAAAATGCATCATACAAATTGTTCACAGCACTATCTCCAACCTGTGAGAAATGTGTACTCATTTTAATATATATTTATTTACATATCTATCTCCTCTACTAACTAGATTGGCATTTCCTTGACAATGTAGACTGTGCCTTCATTTTTGTATCCCTCTTAGCACCGAGCTGATGCCCCACAAATAGAAACTCAATAATTATTAGTTTAAATAAATATGGGTATATGTGTTGTGGTTTCACATGTCAGTTTACCCAATTAGTGGCTCTCACAACCTAAATTTGCTGTTATTTGTCAATAAGGTTTATCACCACACCAGTCTCCTGGGAGACCAGACCATGACACGTGTCAGTTTCATTCTCTCCTAAGACAGTACAGAGAGCAGGCTTACCACCTAACTCTGCAAATAGATAATGGAGTAATTTGTCAGTGCAAGTTTTATTTGGAAACTACTGAATATTTAATTCTTTCTTCCAGATTACAGAAATGTCAAATAAAAAATAAAGTCACTGAAATAAGTTAATTGGGTTTTTAGAGGCAACAGGCCAGAGGTTTTTCTCCTATTGGAGTGTTTAGTAAGTGAATGCCAACTGTGGGCTTATGTGGTCCCAAACACCAGGCGCTTCACCTCTGCTGTTTTAGTTGCCATTTTAGGGACCTCACATCAGAAAGAGTTCTTGTTTTATTTATTTATTTATTCATTTTAAAGATTTTATTGGGGAATTGGGGGAGGGGAACAGACAAGTTGCTGTCCTTTTTGTTCTTCAGTCNTCAGAGCTGGTGTCCCAAGCCAACTCTTAACCAACGCGCCACTCAGCCCCTAAGGACTTGTGTTTTGAGTCTAATGATGACCTGGGCTGGGGTCCTAAAATCAACCCTTGAAGTGTGGAGGAAATATGATCTCAACATAGCCTGTTATGGGATTGGGCTGGGAAGGGGTGTTATCAAGTACAGAGATACCAAGACAAGCCACACAGCAGCCTGTGACTCTGTGAATAGCGTACTGTGTGCTACAGCCCATAGATGCAGAGACCGACAGGGAGCATAGAGCCCACTAGGCAGGCAAGCGTTTAGAACAGAGGATACTACCTAGACTTTCTGTTATATCCCACTGTATTCAGTCACTCCGTACTCATATGCTTTAGAGCTGCTAGTAGTAAAACGATAGTATTGGTGATGCTGACATTAATCGTAACATCAGTTTTTTAAAAATCACCATCTACTTTTATTTGCAGTTACAACCCAAAAATACAAGTGGGTATCTTCCCTGTGTTCTACTTAAAGATCAGTCTGGACTGAAAAAGTGAGGCCTACAGATTCTCACAATGCCTAAGACACAGCAATGAAAGAAATGTTCAAGTTCCACTGATTTTTGAGATCCTTGCTGACAAGTGGAGATAAAATGAGTCTGTAGAGACTATTATCTGAGAAGGCTGTGAGAGAGCACCCACTTAATTTGAATGCATTTCCTGTTTATATGGAGTCTTGTAAAATGCAGTTAAAATAATTTGTGCATGTGTTTTTATAAGTCTTAACTCGACATAGAAACCACCTTTACTTTTCTGGGGGGAAAAAGCATATATAAAGATCTTTTCTGCTTTAACC